CATTCCTGGTGGCCTTTACATGTGATACATTCTAATGCCATTGTGACTTTAAATATAGTTTATAAGCACAGAAAGCCAAATACCTAACTAAGGAATTATTTTTGGATACTGTTTTTCAGTTTTCAATTTTCTTTTTGATGACAAATGTGGCTACAATAATGAAAATCTTCTGCTGCACCTTTTTGAACCTCTGTGGAAAGTAGGGCTGGGTTTCCTCTACTGCTGGGATCTGAGCGCATGCAGGTCGGATGCTACACAACCCTTGATTACATCATTGGCGACGCTGGGATTGCCAAAGGGAAGCACTTCTGGGCTTTTCGTGTGGAAGCCTATTCATACCTGGTGAAAGTGGGAGTTGTTTCTAGCAACAAGATACAGAAATTGTTCCATAATACCCATGATGTGACCAGCCCAAGGTAAATCAGGCTTTTGCTTAATACATGTTTTATATAAGGAGGTGGCTTTTTAAAAAATAAATTGAGAGCAGGTTTGGTCTCCATTAGTACACGAGGTGAGAAGTGGCAAGTGGCTTGAAGGATAATGGTGTCAGCAAGTTGTCCTGTTTATCCCCTAGTCTGAGTGAAAGATGTTCTAGTTATCCAGAACTGTCTGTTTTTTCTTTTTGGGAAAGAAATCATGTTCCTATAGATGCCAGGATGTGTCAGTTAAAGCAAGAAGGTAAAAAAAAGAAAAGAACCAGCTGCAAGACTGAATCCATGCTTAACTGTCAATAGTAAGCCTCTGCCTTAATTCCCTTAGCGTCGTTTGGCAGCCGTTCAGCAGTACAATGTTCACTGCGCCTGTGTGTCTGTGCTGTAGCTTGTGTCACGGTGAATTCCACGTCACTGGCTTATCCCAGGTTGTATGCTTGCCTGTGGTACTGGAGTGCCACTGGGCACAAGCCAAAGTACAGTGGGCAAACCAGCAAAAATATTTCCAGCTCTCAATTACAGTTGTAGTAAGCCTGGTTGTGTCTAGGAACTGGGGGCTGGGAGGCTGTCTCCTGGGGACTCTTAACTTTTTCAGGAATCTAACCAAAGGATTGGCTTTGGCCTGGATAAGATACTGAAAGTGTAAAAATGCCCATGTCTTGAGCTGCTTAAAGTCAGATGGAGCTTTTTTGCAAAGTGAGACACTAGATCCTGATTTCCTGATTTTTTTTTTCCTTATCCATACAAATATCTGGAAGACTTAAGCTGACACACATCCAACCTCCCCCCAGTCCCCCCAGAAGTGCAAACCTAGGTGGGGATTGTCTGCACAGAAGTATGTGTGCTTCTCCAGTCTGTCTGTGTGGGGGCAGAAGTAGGGGGGAAAAGCATGTAGACTGAACAAACATGGCTACAGACTTTCCTTACTAACCAGCTGGGAAACAGGTTCAGGGGAGCCTCCAGGCAGAGCACTTAAAACCAAACAAACAAAAAAAAAAAACCCGCAAAAATCCCTTAAAGCACTACTTTTTGTGTTGTGAATTTTAAGACAGTGTAATACAGCAGCAGCACAGAAATCTCACAGGACAACACCAACATGTTAAATGTATTTACTGGTGACATTTGAAATTATGTAAATAATGTTAAACGTACGTTGTCTGTAATGATGAGGAGTCATATTTGCTAAATTACTTCTCAGGTTAACTCATTTAGCGTACCTGTAGATTCATCAATGTTTGCCTAGCATGACTACACTTAGATACATCCGTTCCTTAGTAAAACCTTCTGTGGTCATGTCCTCATTAGTGTTTAGCTGTTATTAATTGTTGGCAGTGGCCCAAGTGAGTGTTCTCCACCCGCTAAATGCATCTTCCCACCTGGCTGAGGTATGTTTTTTACCCCACAAGTGACTGTACGGTGTTACCTGTCTTACAAAATGTTTTCTGCAGTTCACATCACTGACCCCACTTCAGAATTTGACAAAAGCTGATGGTTGGTTTTCTGTTCTAGGTATGAACAAGACAGTGGCCATGACAGTGGGAGTGAAGATGCCTTCTTTGACTCATTGCAGCCTTTCACGCTGGTCACTGTAGGCATGAAGCATTTCTTTATCCCCACGACACCTGCAGCCCCCAAGGATCCGGCGAGCAGGATCCTTCCCCTGCCGTCGCGCTTGGGCATCTGCCTTGACTGTGACAAAGGCAAGGTGGGGTTTTACGACGCAAGCGATATGAAATGCCTTTACGAGTGCGAGGTGGACTGCTCTGGCGTAATGTACCCAGCGTTTGCCTTAATGGGTGGCGCAGCAGTTCATCTTGAGGAAGCTGTCACAGCAAAGTACGGGGAGTACCAGGATGACATCTAAAGCAGTCATCTCTTCCCCTTGCTGTTCTGAGATGGAAAATGAAAGCAGAAGAATTTCACATTAGTTTTCAGTATTGATTAATTCTACCTATGTGTTGCTTACAAGCCTCTGGGCCGTGCTGTTTTTTAAACAAACAGTCCAGACACTTCTCACACCAGTGGGAAATGTTCTTCCAGTAACTCTCCTGCCTTTCGTGTCATCTATGCGACGCTGTTCTCCACAGACTTTCTTCCCAGGAGGAAGTAGGGAAGAAGTTTGACTAGCAACCAAAATGACTCTTCAGGGGTAAATCTGCCTTCTATGTAACTTAAATCCTTACACAGTCAGTTTTGCATTTAATGAAGTCAAAGCTGACAGCGTGTTGATTGCCATTCTCCTTTTAAGAAATCTGCCTGAATGCCTTTTGGGGAGCAGACGCTCTCCAATTAACCCCTTAGCACCAGGGTTTGGGCCTTTCCGCATGAAATAACATTTGCGGGAATGTGGTATAAAGCAGGGAGAAAGAAGAACTGCAGCTGAACATTTAGGTTGTATTGGCAAGAGGAGGGTAAACTAGAATCTGATTGCATGTCATATATCTTTGATGTGACGGTAAGCTAAAACTCTTAATTCTGACACCTGGTGTCATATAGTTGGTGGCATAATGGTAAGTTTCTTTATTCTTCCAGGCTTTTACTATAGGCTATATGAAATACATAAAGTGCAATTCTACCTTAAACTTCAGACTTTAGCGTCCAAAATCCGAAGTGTTTGCATGTGTGAGTAGTAGTACCTGGTATTTAGGCAAAAGCAAATAAGTTATTGACATGAGTAACAATATGTGATCTTTAAAAAAATCAGGTATTTCTTTTAATACTTGTTTCTGTAAGTGAAGTTTTTGATCTAGTAGCAGCCTGTTTTTTTAGTAGGAACGTTAAAAATGCACTGATTAAGTTTTGAGACCCAATTTCTGCCTTAAAGGATGTCTCCCCTCAAATTTCTGTTCCTCTCATGTTAAAAACTGTATCACACAGTAGTTTTTCATAGAATCATAGAATGGTTTGGGTTGGAAGGGACCTTAAAGACCATCTAGTTCCAACCCCCCTGCCATGGGCAGGGACACCTTCCACTAGACCAGGTTGCTCCAAGCCTCATACAGCCTGGCCTTGGACACTTCCAGGGATGGGGCATCCACAGCTTCTCTGGGCAACCTGTTCCAGCGCCTCACCACCCTCTCTGGGAAGAACTCCCTGATATCTTATCTAAACCTAACATCTTTCAGTTTAAAACTGTTGCTTCTTGTCCTTCTTCTACAGGTCTTGTTAAAAATTATTTTACCAATTTCTTTTAAGCCTTTTTTAGGTATTGAAAGGCCACAATTAAGTGTCTCTGGAGCCTTGTCTACTTCAGACTGAGCAACCCCAACTCTCAGCCTGTCTTCACGGGAGCGGTGCGCCATCCCTCTGACTGTTTCTGTGGCCCCGCTCTGGAGCCCACTCTGTGCTCGGGGCTCCAGAGCTGGATGCAGTACTCCAGCTGGGGTTTTGGGGTAGCAGAGGAGGGGAATCTCCTCCCTTGCCCCGCTGACCACCCACCAACCCAGGACGCAATTGGCTTTCTTGGCTGCAAGTGCATATTGCTGGTTCATGTCCAGTTTTACCTCCACCAGGATCCCCCAGTCCTCTGCAGGGCGGCTCTCTATCCTCCAGCCTGAGTTGATACTGGGGATTGCCCCGACCCAGGTGCAGGACCCTGCACTTGGCCTTGTTGAACTCCATGAGGTTGGCAGTGGCCCACCTCTCCAGCCTGTCCAGGTCCCTCTGGATGACATCCCTTCTCTCTGGAGTGTTCACAGCACCACTCATCTTGGTGTCAACCACAAACGTCCTGAGGGTGCATTTGATCCTAACAACTGCCTGTGTTGTTAGTGAAGATATTAAATAATATTGGTGCCAGTACAGACCCTTGAGGGACACCACTCATTACTGGTTTCCACTTGGACACTGAGCCATTGACTGTAACTTAGGACGTGACCATCCAGCCACTTCCTTCTCCATCCAACAGTCCACCTGTCACGCTCGTATCTCTCAAATTTAGAGGTGAGAATTTTGGGGAGGATCGTGTCAAAGGCCTTACAGAAGTCCAGGTATGTGACATCTGTAGCTCTTCCGTTGTCCATGGATGCAGTCACTCCATCACAGAAGGCCACTATAGGCGTGAGGCATGATTTGCCCTTGGTGAACCCATATTGGCTGTCTCTAATCGTCTCCCTGTCTTCCATATGTTTCGACATATCTGCCAGGAGGATCTGTTTCCTGATCTTCCTGGGCACGGAGGTGGACTGCGTCTGTTGCTAGAAATCTAAGTAAAAAAACATCTGGGTACTTGCACTGTTAACTTGTGTTGGGGAAAAATAAGGATCTAAAGTGAAGGATGTTTCTAATACATACTTGGTGCTTTCTAATTTGGGGATATGCTTTCTAATTTGGGGATAGTGTTGCATCTTGATGAATGTGTGTGAAGTGTGCTTACTAAGTACGTGTATACAGCTGTAGAGCTATGAAATGGGACCTGAAAATCACAATACACTTAAATGAATGTAGGTCATATTGCAAAACCTTTGTGCTTTGCTGTCTGAACTGTCGTACTGATCTGACCTGGAGCCCAGCCCTCCCGGTGCCCTCTCTCCCAAGCCTCTGTCCGGTGGCCACTGTTGGAAGAGATTGGCAGAAATGGTAATTGGCAGAAATGTCATCTGCGCCAGGGTGAGCGTGACAGCCCTTCCGGGGCTAGAAAGGCCCAGCAAGGGCACTCCTTGTCTGGGTCTCACCCGCTGGTTTCTGCCTTAGTAAGGCTGTGAGGAAGCGTGTTCCACAGCTTCATGGTGGGCTTGTGTGGGAAACCTTTGGATGTCCCAGGCAGCAGGTGTGAAACAGTGGGTGTCTTCTGGCACTTTCTCCTGCAGGAGAAACGGCAAATTGTCCCTTGCTAGTTACCCCTTAGGTCGTTTCATTTTGAAGTAGATGATTATCATAGCCTTTCTGTCCCATTATGCCCTCCCCGTCATGTTTCCTCTCGCTGGATGGAAGCCATTCTGTACTGGTGGGCATCCTGCAGCCCCTCTTTCTCCACTCGCCTTCCGAGGCTGACTGAAAGAGCCTTACATACCGACACTCCTACTGTGAAGGACGACAGAATTCCGTGTTTTTCTTCTTTCTACAGTCCTAAAACCTTATTTGCCTTTTTGGTTGATACCAAATATTAAACTGACGTTTACCTAGTTTCTTTTGCAGTGTTTTTCACACGATCCTGTTGGTTAGTTGTGAACAAGCTGTGCACATACAGGGCTTCCCCACCTTGGGTGTTATTTTGTATTAGTTGAGTTTTATCCACTTGTTTACCGAGGCACTTAGTCCTGAGGGCCACCAGCAGCTCTTCTACACTTGAATGTTCCTGAGTAGCTTCACAGCTAACACAGATGTGATCGGGGTTTTTTTGTTGGCTTGCTTTTCCAGATCTTGGAGCGACTTAAGTTGTAGTGAGACACAGCAAATCTTTCTGCTGTTAAAATGTATTGTTCCTTCCACTACTTTCTATTTTCCTCATCAGTCATTTATTAAACCATGATTTAATAGTCAAGCACCGAAAACTTCTACATGTTAGTAGACTTTGTTGAGCAGGTGATTCATGTTCTTGTGTGCGTGAGCCCGGTAGTCCAGGATTCTCTCTTCAGTAGTTGTGACTTGTCCCATAGTATAATCACCATTTGTCCATTCATCTACCAAACCTAGGATGGGCTTAAAAGCTATAGATCATTGGGTTTAACTTTCTGGTTTGTTGTTCTCAGACTGAATCTCCTTCCACAAACATGTCATTTTTTTATTCCTTTGGTTCAGAAACTGGTCTAAATTAGAGGTTTTGTGTCACGGTTAGCACTCCACAGTTCCACATTTGGATTCTTTATAAGAATTTGGACCAATATCACCAGGCTTTGGCCTTTCATTACTTTATGGAAATACTCATAAACTGAGCACTCTGTCTTAGATATGGAGACAGTCTCTCACTCATTTATTAAAAAAAAAATAATTTACTGGTTTGAGAATATTAAGAAATTAAAATAATTTTTAAGTAAGAAATTAAAAACATAGGGTTTTTTGGTTTGTTTTTTTTTTTTTTTTCCCCCTACTATAGCTTTATCTTCCATTCATTTGAGATGTGTTCTGCTATGCAATTACTTATTCTACCAGGCAGAGACTGACGCTACTTTAAACATTTATCTACCTTTTGATACGTCTGTTTGTGTTTATCTCATTCGGAGTTCAAAAATTGGTTTGGCTTTCGGTGTTACTTGAATGTTTAGGATGCATTCATTACAGTACTCTATGGTGCTTACTCCAGCTTATTAAATAAAAAAAACCCCACACTGTCAGAGGCACTGACAACACCCTGTCAGGTTTTTTTCCACTGCAACGGGAGTGTCACCTTTCAGAAATACAGTTCAGCAGTACTTGCCTATCCAAATACTTATTTTTCCAGAACAATTTTTCTTCTTACGAAACAGCACTTTACAACGTAGACTAAGCTAAGAATAGTGTGGTATTGTGTGGATCTTTGTGCAATATAGCTGTTTGGTGACTACTGTGTGATTTGCAAAGCTCCATGCAGGTGTGAATCATGTAGACACTTTTTAGACATCTAAAGCTTTAACAAGAAGGCCTTGTTTAAAAATATTCTGAAACGTTAAATGTGATGTCTTTTTTTTTTTTTAATAAAAGCTGAAAATACAGTAGCGTGGTCATTCACATTATTACATCCCAGCTCTGAAGGACCCTAGCAGACAGCAACAGGCGACACGTGGAGGAAGCATTGCTTTTGGTTCTCAAGTCATAGAATCATAGAATCACAGAATGGTTTGGGTTGGAAGGGACCTTAAAGATCATCTAGTTCCAACCCCCCTGCCACGGGCAGGGACACCTTCCACTAGACCAGGTTGCTCAAAGCCTCATCCAGCCTGGCCTTGA